TGCTCAGCTTTAAGTAGTTTGTTAGAACTTAGTCTGGCTTTGCTCTGCCTCTTATATTTGCCTGCAGGTTCACAGTTCAGTGAACTTAGCTTTCCCCTGGTCAGGATGGAATCTTCTCTTCACCCCTTTATCACAGAAGTGACTGATTGCTCTTGGCTGGTTTCCACATACAGCCACCCCTCACCACCCACCCCTGTATTTTCTGTCTAGGCTAAACTCCTCAAGGCTACCCAATATCCTGACCAGGTGGTGTCTCCTTCCCCTACTTCCTCACCCCAGAATTTCTGGACCTTCTCCCACCTCCACTAATGGTGCTGGTAGTATCCACAAGAGACCTTGCTAATAACCAAGCCTCTTTCTTATCTGTTCTAAACTTTCTCTTTTTGCTGGGAGATTCTCCCCAGTAATTACTCAGGTTTTTCTGTGACTTGCCTCTAGTTATTAAATCTGCCTCTTTCTAATTTCCACTCTAACACTCTAGCCAACATGAAATCACTCTGCCTTCTAGATTTCTTTCTTTTGCTTTTTTGTTGTTGTGTTGTTTTTAACAGCTTGGATTGGTTGAGTTTCCAAAAGCAAACAAAACAAAACAAAAACCTCTGAAAACCTCGAGATAACATACCTTTCTCAAAATGCAAGTTTATTTTTCTCTTACTTTCCTATAGTTTGAAGGTGATCATACAGGCTGGTATCCAGAGTTTGAGAATTTCTATCTGGTTTCTCTCCCTAGTGTGGCTTCTAGTCTCCAGGGCAGCTCATGGTCCCAGGTGGCTACTGGAGCTCCAGCCACTGTGTTCACATTCCACAGGAATGGAGAGAGAATCAAGAAGAGCATTCCCTCTTAAGGACATTCCTAGAAGTTTGATAGCCTAATTCTATGTATCTATCGTTGACTAGAATTTTGTCACATAACGTATTAGATATAACCACATCTAGCTGCAAGGGAAGCTGGAAAGCACCTTCCCTCCCAGTGGCTATAAATTCAGCTGTAAGTTAGAGTTCTGTTATGATGGAGAGCAATATGTTGGAAGAAACCAGCAGACTGATATTTTTCTTCATCTTTGTGACAATACTCTCTGCCAGTCCCTTCCTGCCAGTTCCCTCTCCCAGGTCCTGTGTAGGAGAGGGGCATGTGCTCCATCATATCTCGTATTTGCACCTGCTCACATGTGTTATTATGGTTTACATGAAACATTTACATAAAGCGATCTTATTATGATCAGTGGTGTAGTGGTGGGAATGGTAGTTGTGAGATTCAGTGAGTCCTTTCTTCTTGCCTGTTCAATCAAAACACACTTGCCCTTTTTCTGTCCTACACTTTAGCTTTCCATCCTCTTATAGATTCAAAGGAATCATGGTTCTGTGGAGAGAGAAACAGAAGGACCAAGGCAAAGAAGCAGTAGGGAC